GGAAGAAACATTATGGAAATATACAGTTGCAATATTTAATTTAGAAGTTTTTATTTACAAAAAAAATCAACGATTTTTAAGCTCGTTGTATAACAATGATATTTGACAGATGATGATTTTCTTTAAAGTTTATTGTGACATTTATGGCCGTTTGCACCTACCATTTTGAGGTAACCTTAGCGATAAGTATTCCTTAAAGTGACATTTATCCATGTAGAAATGTAATTTTTAAGAATACTTATCGCTAATGCTTCCTTAAAATGGTCGGTGCAAACAGCCATTATCCATCAAATTTAACTTTGACAGCTGGCGAAAATTGCTTTGATTGATATTGACAAAATATAAAGTTTAGTAAAAAAGCTTCTCTAATTAACAAAACAATGACATTTAAGGTAATACAGTTTTCTTCGAGGTTCAGGGTAAAGTTTTACTAACAATTTTTGAGTTGAAAGTTAAAATTTTGAGGACTTTTTCCTTAAGGTTCAATGTAAAAAATACTGAAAACTCAAAGCAATTGAGTTGTTAATGGAGTTATGATTTTTTTAAAATAATGATGTTTTGTAAAGTAATACTTTACAGACAATTTTTTCACTCAAAAACTAAAGTGAGCGGAAAGGTGAAATTTTGAGGACTTTTTCCTAATGATTCAATGTAAAAAATACTGAAAACTCAAAGCGATTGAGTTAATATTAATGGAGTTATGATTTTTTGAAAATAATGATGTTTTGTAAAATAAGACTTTACAAACAATTTTTTCATTCAAAAAGTAAAGTGAATGGAGAGTTGAAATTTTGGGGACTTTTACCTGAAGATTTAATGTAAAAAATACTGAAAACTCAAAGCGATTGAGTTATTATTAATGGAGTTATGATTTTTTGAAAATAATGATGTTTTGTAAAATAAGACTTTACAAACAATTTTTTCATTCAAAAAGTAAAGTGAATGGAGAGTTGAAATTTTGGGGACTTTTACCTGAAGATTTAATGTAAAAAATACTAAAAACTCAAGGCGATTGAGTTATTATTAATGGAGTTATGATTTTTTGAAAATAATGATGTTTTGTAAAGTAAGACTTTACATACAATTTTTTCATTCAAAAAGTAAAGTGAATGGAGAGTTGAAATTTTGGGGACTTTTACCTGAAGATTCAATGTAAAAAATACTAAAAACTGAAAGCGATTGAGTTATTATTAATGGAGTGATTTTTTTAAAATAATGATATTTTGTGAAGTAATACTTTACAGACAATTTTTTCATTCAAAAAGTAAAGTAAATGGAGAGTTGAAATTTTGGGGACTTTTTCCTAAAGATTCAATGTAAAAAATACTGAAAACTCAAAGCGATTGAGTTATTATTAATGGAGTTATGATTTTTTGAAAATAATGATGTTTTGTAAAATAAGACTTTACAAACAATTTTTTCATTCAAAAAGTAAAGTGAATGGAGAGTTGAAATTTTGGGGACTTTTACCTGAAGATTTAATGTAAAAAATACTAAAAACTCAAGGCGATTGAGTTATTATTAATGGAGTTATGATTTTTTGAAAATAATGATGTTTTGTAAAGTAAGACTTTACATACAATTTTTTCATTCAAAAAGTAAAGTAAATGGAGAGTTGAAATTTTGAGGACTTTTTCCTAAAGATTCAATGTAAAAAATACTAAAAACTGAAAGCGATTGAGTTATTATTAATGGAGTGATTTTTTTAAAATAATGATATTTTGTAAAGTAATACTTTACAGACAATTTTTTCATTCAAAAAGTAAAGTAAATGGAGAGTTGAAATTTTGAGGACTTTTTCCTAAAGATTCAATGTAAAAAATACTGAAAACTCAAAGCGATTGAGTTATTATTAATGGAGTTATGATTTTTTGAAAATAATGATGTTTTGTAAAGTAAGACTTTACAAACAATTTTTTCATTCAAAAAGTAAAGTGAGTGGAGAGTTGAAATTTTGGGGACTTTTTCCTAAAGATTCAATGTAAAAAATACTGAAAACTCAAAGCGATTGAGTTATTATTAATGGAGTTATGATTTTTTGAAAATAATGATGTTTTGTAAAATAAGACTTTACAAACAATTTTTTCATTCAAAAAGTAAAGTGAATGGAGAGTTGAAATTTTGGGGACTTTTACCTGAAGATTTAATGTAAAAAATACTAAAAACTCAAGGCGATTGAGTTATTATTAATGGAGTTATGATTTTTTGAAAATAATGATGTTTTGTAAAATAAGACTTTACAAACAATTTTTTCATTCAAAAAGTAAAGTGAATGGAGAGTTGAAATTTTGGGGACTTTTACCTGAAGATTTAATGTAAAAAATACTAAAAACTCAAGGCGATTGAGTTATTATTAATGGAGTTATGATTTTTTGAAAATAATGATGTTTTGTAAAGTAAGACTTTACATACAATTTTTTCATTCAAAAAGTAAAGTAAATGGAGAGTTGAAATTTTGAGGACTTTTTCCTAAAGATTCAATGTAAAAAATACTAAAAACTGAAAGCGATTGAGTTATTATTAATGGAGTGATTTTTTTAAAATAATGATATTTTGTGAAGTAATACTTTACAGACAATTTTTTCATTCAAAAAGTAAAGTAAATGGAGAGTTGAAATTTTGAGGACTTTTTCCTAAAGATTCAATGTAAAAAATACTGAAAACTCAAAGCGATTGAGTTATTATTAATGGAGTTATGATTTTTTGAAAATAATGATGTTTTGTAAAGTAAGACTTTACAAACAATTTTTTCATTCAAAAAGTAAAGTGAGTGGAGAGTTGAAATTTTGGGGACTTTTTCCTAAAGATTCAATGTAAAAAATACTGAAAACTCAAAGCGATTGAGTTATTATTAATGGAGTTATGATTTTTTGAAAATAATGATGTTTTGTAAAATAAGACTTTACAAACAATTTTTTCATTCAAAAAGTAAAGTGAATGGAGAGTTGAAATTTTGGGGACTTTTACCTGAAGATTTAATGTAAAAAATACTAAAAACTCAAGGCGATTGAGTTATTATTAATGGAGTTATGATTTTTTGAAAATAATGATGTTTTGTAAAGTAAGACTTTACATACAATTTTTTCATTCAAAAAGTAAAGTAAATGGAGAGTTGAAATTTTGAGGACTTTTTCCTAAAGATTCAATGTAAAAAATACTAAAAACTGGAAGCGATTGAGTTATTATTAATGGAGTGATTTTTTTAAAATAATGATATTTTGTGAAGTAATACTTTACAGACAATTTTTTCATTCAAAAAGTAAAGTAAATGGAGAGTTGAAATTTTGAGGACTTTTTCCTAAAGATTCAATGTAAAAAATACTGAAAACTCAAAGCGATTGAGTTATTATTAATCGAGTTATGATTTTTTGAAAATAATGATGTTTTGTAAAGTAAGACTTTACAAACAATTTTTTCATTCAAAAAGTAAAGTGAGTGGAGAGTTGAAATTTTGGGGACTTTTTCCTAAAGATTCAATGTAAAAAATACTGAAAACTCAAAGCGATTGAGTTATTATTAATGGAGTTATGATTTTTTGAAAATAATGATGTTTTGTAAAATAAGACTTTACAAACAATTTTTTCATTCAAAAAGTAAAGTGAATGGAGAGTTGAAATTTTGGGGACTTTTACCTGAAGATTTAATCTAAAAAATACTAAAAACTCAAGGCGATTGAGTTATTATTAATGGAGTTATGATTTTTTGAAAATAATGATGTTTTGTAAAGTAAGACTTTACATACAATTTTTTCATTCAAAAAGTAAAGTAAATGGAGAGTTGAAATTTTGAGGACTTTTTCCTAAAGATTCAATGTAAAAAATACTAAACACTGAAACCGATTGAGTTATTATTAATGGAGTGATTTTTTTAAAATAATGATATTTTGTGAAGTAATACTTTACAGACAATTTTTTCATTCAAAAAGTAAAGTAAATGGAGAGTTGAAATTTTGAGGACTTTTTCCTAAAGATTCAATGTAAAAAATACTAAAAACTCAAAGCGATTGAGTTATTATTAATGGAGTTATGATTTTTTTTAAATAATGATGTTTTGTACAGTAAGACTTTACAAAAATTTTTTTTACTCAAAAACTAAAGTGAGTGGAGAGTTGAAATTTTGAGGACTTTTTCCTAAAGATTCAATGTAAAAAATACTAGAAATTTAAAGCGATTGAGTTATTATTAATGGAGTTATAATGATTTTTTTTTTAAATATTGGTGCTCCAAATTCTAGACATTTTAAGATGTTGTAAATAGGTGTAAGAAAAATGAAAATTGAATTAGAGTGATCTGAAGTTTAACAAAGTTCTAATAAAGTTCCAAAGTGTTTTAAATGTTCTACATTATTAATTAACAAAAATAGAGTATTTTGAAATTTTCCAAAGGTTCTACAGTGTTCTAATAATACATTTCAAAATCCTGAAAATTTCAAGTTCAAAGTATATTTGAATCTTGCTCAAATATCGCTGAAAATTGTAAAGTGTTCTGGAGTGTTTATGATAATTCTAAATTGGTTCTAAACTGTTCTGAATGATTAACGACGTTTGTTTTATGAAATTCTAAAATGTTGTTGATTAAGCGTGAGAAAAGTGAATTAAAGTGTCCTGAGTCCTGAAACCTAACAGTGCTCTAAAGTGTTCTAGAGCGGTTTAAAAAACCTAGATATGTTTTACATTATTGAAATTAACAGAGGGTATTCTGAAGTTTTCCAAAAATTTCAAAGTGTTTTTCCAAAATGCTCCAGAACATTTAAACTTTCAAAGTATTCTGATCTTTCTGAGAAGTTCAAAAGTGTTCTGGAACGTTTCTAAAAATTCTTGAACTTCTCAATATTTCCAAAAGTTCCAAAATATTTCTTGAAATTCTAAACTTGTTCTAAAACTCTGGAGTACTCTAGAGTTCTAAAATGACGTTTTTGATAATCAAGATTCAATTTCCAATTAAAAAATAATTAATAATTAAGACGACCACCGAAAAAAAAAAAAAAATCGATTAAAATCATCAAAACCGCAACCAATTTGGTTCAATGCCAAAAAACCAATCGTACCCGACAAAATGGCGAAAAACTCTCTGGCCCGAACGAGGAGAGACAAACAGGCGATCAACGCAGTATATATAAGATATAACGTACACAATTTTATCTAAAAAAAATAATTCTTACCGGTATCTTTTTTAGGTACAATAAGGGAAAGAGGTTGAGGAGAAACAGGCACAACCCTCGGCTCAACCTCACTCTTATCAAGTCCCAAATCGTTTTTAACTTGAACAGCATTCTGCGACTCCAACAGCCTCAATTGCTGTTGGTGCAACCTGTTTTTAATCAAAAATATCTTAGGCATTTTGAGTCACTTATTTATAATCCTCCGTTTATAATAAATCCATGATTTTTGTCACTCAAATACCGACCGGCGCACTATGAAGTTATATACCGTTCACTTTAATGTTACAAGAACCTTGACAGAGAGAGAACCAATGTTAAAAAAACGCGTTTTCGTATTCGACCATACACACGTCTTGACAGTATCGGTACTTTGCTAAGACTGAGTTGATGACCGGTACCACGATGGAACCGTTGCTGCGCCGTTACCCCTGCTCCCCACCCTCTTCACCTTGGGTACCCATTTGGAGGTTAGACGTGCCTATAGAGCGAAAGAGCAGGGCTTTTCTATATACGCTACCTGCCGTTTTATTAGTATTTTTACCTGTTGCGTTGTTTTTGTGTCTTCGACATCAGTATAAGGGACATGCATGCGTTTTATTATTGGGATTTGTGGTTTTTGAAATGTTCTCTTGGTCAATTTAAGATGTTTTGAGAAGTTTAAAATGTGACATTTTGAATATGTTTCTATTCGGGACAAAGTTTGAAAATGGTCTCAAATGAGACGTACTTTCTTAAAAATGGCCGAGTTCGTTTTTGTCATTTTTTTCGTCGATTTGCTCCGATTTGAAATTTTGACAGGCACGTGATTTGTAAATTGAAACTGTTTTATCCAGTCACGTGCCTGTCAAAATTTCGGAGCAAATCGACGAAAAAGATGACAAAAACGAACTCAGCCAATGTCTGAAATGTCACAAAATGTGACTTCATAGAAACGTTCCTCTATACGGTCAATGTCATTCACTAATGGCCGTTTGCACCGACCATTTTAAGGGAGCCTTTTAGCGCTAAGTATCTCTTAAAATGACATTTTTACATAGAGAAATGTCACTTGAATGAATACTTATCGCTAAGGCTTCCTTAAAATGGTCGGTGCAAACGGCCATTAGATGCCTTTTTGAAAAAGGTATAAAAATGGAAAATTTTTATTTTCGGTTTTTTCTTAATTTTGACTTAAGAAATGGATCGAGCGGGTGCAAATTAGTCAGAAACAACTCCTATATCAGTTACATTTGGAAATTTCAATAAGAAAAAAAATCCAAAAGGAAATTTCCATTTTTGGCTCTGGACATTTTTTGAATTCTTGATATGTTCATGAATAATTGTTCATGTCAGTAGGGACACTTGAGTAAATTGTCAATAATTATACATCATTGAAAAGAGCATTAAATTCTCTATAAGCCTGTGTAAAATTCGTTTTTGTAGCTTTTGAAGTTTTAAGGATATTGAGTCTCAAAGTTGAAATTTAGACGACATTTTTTCCAAAAGTTCAAATTCGATTTTCTCAAAAACCATAAATGCTGGCGATTTCAGTTCAATACCATTTGAAAGCCCTTATCAAGGGCTACAATTCCTGGAAATGTTGTCCCAGTACTGCTTTCGGTTACCGAGATATTGAGGTTTGAAGATTTGCAAATAAAAATTCAAAAGGGTTATACCCTTAGAAAAAAGTGCAAAAAATTGAAAATTCCTATTTTTGAATTTTTCTCAATTTTGATTTGAGAAATCGATAGAGCGGGTCCAAAATAGTCAGGAACAACTCTTACATCATTTACATTTGAAAATTTCAATGAGAAAAAAAATCCAAAAGGAAATTTCGTTTTTCGTTCTGGACATTTTTTGAAATCTTGACATGCTCATGAATAATTGCTCATTCCTTCAACTATATTTGAGCAAATTGTCTATATATATATACATCACTGAAAAGAGCATTAAATTCTCTATAAGCCTGTGGAGAAGTGAGTTTTGTAGCTTTTGGAGTTTTCAAGATATTGAGCTTCAAAATTGAAATCTAAACGACATTTTGTCCAAAACTTCAAATTCGATTTTCTCAAAAACCGTAAATGCTAGCGATTTCAGCTCAATACCATCTGAAAGCTCCTATGAAGAGCTACAATTTCTGGAATTTTTGTCCCAGTTCTGCTTTTGGTTACCGAGATATTGAAGTTTAAAGATTTGCAAATAAAAATCCTAACCCTAAAAAAAAAGTGCAAAAAATTGAAAATTTCTATTTTTGGATTTTTCTCAATTTTGACTTTAGGAATCAATAGAGCGAGTTATATGTTTACATCACATGAATGTATCATGATGTACCAATACACTGGCTTTTTTTACCTATAGTTTATCATGAAAAAGTTATATACAGACCGGAAAACCTACTAGACACATAGGGAGTAATAAAACGAATTAGCTTGTACCCTGTTAAGGCGAATCGAACCGGGTGTTGCCCACTGACAACTGGCGTAGCCAGGGAAGGGGACAAAGTGGCATTTGCTCCCTTCCCTCAAAGGCCTTTAAGTTTTATTAATAATTCAAAATTAAAATAAACAAAGAATCAATTCAAGTCCTACGTAAATAATCAAATACCTACATACATTATAATATAAGTAACGTTCTACTATAAATTCTTATCAAGATTTGTTTAAATGGCCGCATCCCCGCCATTAGAAGTCCCAAAAATACCGTGAAAAAACCCAAAAATTTCGCGCCTGCGGCGCTTTCCCTCTTGCAGAGCTTGCGGCGGAGCTGCAACTGCTCAAAGTGGTTCTACCGAAGGTGCACGGATTTTAAAGCCGGGTCCAGACTATGTAACAAAACATGTTAAATAACAAAGTTTTATAATTTGTTAGAGGATTTTGAATAAAAAAGTTATACAACACAGTGTTGTATAACATTTTGCTGGTTATATAGCATGTTTCATGTTATCCATCAGATGTCGGTGTAGATCAAAGGAAGTTATAAAACATTATAACAAGTTACACAACAAAGCTGTATAAGCAATTTGTTGTACCACTTTATTATCAACATGTTTTGTTACATAGTCTGGACTCGGCTTAATAATATGCAGAGACCTGCAGGAACGATTAATGATCCAGCGTAGCGATCCTTTAGTGAAATGGCTATCTGCCAACTGGTCCCATTTAAGTCTACGTGTCTAGTAGCCTAGTCCCTGCCTGTCTAATTAATTCTACTTATTATGTTAATTTTTGGAGCCCGAGCCCCCATAGTAATTTTGAAATTCCGGCGCCTATGTACAGGGTGGCCCGTTTAAGAGGGGCCTATACCTTAACTCAAAATCTACAAGGTCTGTGAAAAAAATGTAAATACAAAAGTTGTTTCTAATAAAATTATCTACAACTTTTTTGTATTGTTTCTGTTGTCACTTTACTATATACAAGGTGGACAAATGAAATTTCATTTTTTTAACGATATACTGGTCAAGTGTGTGTGATATACCGTTTCGAACTTATTAGCGACTATCTTCAGGACTTGGGGTCATTTTAAACAGTCATTGTTACGTAAATCATAAACTTTTTAAACTTTTTTTTGCATGATATTTTCTAAAAAATAATGCTCTTCTTTAGGCTATAGCAAAGAAGCGTTAACTATAATATTCTTTGACTATAGTCAAATTTGAAATATTTGTTTAAAATACGCGGTGTTGCCACGTTTTGCAAAATGTTAAATTTTTCAATTCTTTCAAATGGGACCTCCTAGTTTTTGGATAGCCCTTTGAAAGACAAATTCAACGATATACTAGAAATGGGTCTGTGATGCACCGTTTCGGCCTGAAAAACGTGGCAACACCGGGTTTTTTAAACAAATATTTCAAATTTGACTATAATCTGAAGAAGAGCATCATTTTATAGAAAATATCATCCAAAAAAAAAGTTTAAAAAGTTTATGAGTAACGCAACAATGACTGTTGAAAATTACGCCAAATCCTGAAGATAGTTGCTGATAAGTTCGAAACGGTATATCACAGACGCATGACCAGTATACCGTTGAATATAGAAATGTATTAAAATATAGGGTGTTCCATTTAAAAAAAAATGAAATTTCATTTGGTCACCCTGTATATAGTAGAGTGACACCAGAAAAAATACAAAAAAGTTGTAGATAATTTTATTAGAAACAACTTTTGTATTTAAATTTTTTTTACAGCCAAAATCCAAAAAGAAATCTCATTTCTGGACTCTACAGGGTGTATCAGGTTCGAGATCAAAAATTTTAACACATGAAAATATGGCCCATTTTGAACAAAAAAAGTTTATACAACATGGGGTCCAAACTCAACCATTTTTAAGAAAAAGGCCTTTGAAGTTTTGACATTTTTTGACAAATATTTCAAAGATAAAGAAAATTTTAATCATTATGAGATGTAAAAAAATTTAGTTTATTCAATTATTAAGTAAATATGCATTTTTAGTCAACAACAACAACAACAAAAAATTGAAAAAACAACATAAAAATTTCACTTGTAAATCGGTATCTAAACATCTGGCAACATAGCACAATAAAGAATAGGTGGTTGAACGTTGAACCTTGCTTGAACTGAATCATTGATTCTTGATTCGTCTTGTCTATATAGTTGGGAAACGCGTGTAATTCAAATTCATTCTTTTTTGAAAATAAAATGTTTACAAACGTCGAGTATGCAGATATTTGTTTAGGCAGAATCGTTGCAAAATGTTCATTTAGCCGCCAGAATTTACAGGAAAACTAGGGAAAGATTTCCCAAAAGAAAAACACTCACCTGATGAAAGAACATTGTGCCCGTTTTACAAATATTGCGTGATACCTGAAGTGTGAGTGAGCAAAATCTGCGTGTTGATTATAGTGTTTTGAGAACCTTTTAACAAAAATTAATATTTTCATAATAAGGATTTGGCTAGTAGCTGAGACAGCTGAGTAAGTATTATTTGATTTCTCTCATGGTCAATAGGACACTTTTAGTTTGAGATGGGCCATATTATCTCATGTCAAAATATTTGTACTCATACCTGATACACCCTGTATAAAGGTATTATATGTATACTACAGTCGCATTTTATTCAAAATTTTCAATGTGTAAATTCTCCATATCAATAAGATAAGAGTTATCGAGCTAAATTTTTCTGAGATTGTAGCTCCCATTGAATACTTCAATGCGTTATTTAAAAAGTAGGTATTTGTAAGCATTTTGAATTTGAGCTTTTGAAGGAAATTTCTTCAGAATTTTAACTTTGAAGCTTAATTTCTCAAAATTTATGATTCCATTTTTGGAGGATTTATAGAAAATTTAATCTTCTTCTAGGAAATCTATAAAACAAACTGATTCGTTGAAGATTACAGAAACTGTAAGTAAATTTCTCAGACCCAGACCATATTATGAAAATCGGTTTTTTTAAAATAACCATGCCTTTATATCTTCAAAGATATTGAGTTAAATTTATATATTTCTATTCAGCCACAATAGTATGCCCCTATTCTTATATTTTTCTGCATATTAACTTTTGCATTTAAAAAGTTCAAGTTAACG